TTAGTAAAATTATATTGGCTATAACTAGTATATTTAATACTACTGTTTCCGTCGAATTCATATTTTGAAGTCTCATTTGGATAATATTTACCGACACCATCACTATCATTCATTCTTGAGATATTATTACTTTCAATTATATAAAACTTTGTTTTGGACAAAAAACAAAATCATTTTCTTTTTTACTTAGTGACAATAAGACAACAGGTCTGATACCTTTTGGTTAAAACTTAAAAGCACTGCTCCTAATTTTACTTCTTATTGATTTTGCTTTTCATAGAATTCAGAAAGCAAGTAAAAGTAAAGAAATGTGTATACTTATGATAAGAATTACAAATAAACATAAGAAAATAAATGAAAAATGAAAAGAAAAATACTTACTGTGCCTCTCTTTTTTTTTCATCTCTTGATAGTATTCTTTGTTTGAAATATATCATGATCACATTCATCATCAAAAAAAAATTTCTGTAGAAAAAATTCAATTGAAATTAATTTATGTTGGCACTAGAAGATGATATTTTTGATGATCTCTATAGATCTGTTTTAGATTTATTGATTGATGTTCATTGATTTTCACTTATTTGTAATAAAGATTGATGAATTCACTTCCTGTCTACTGAAGTTTCTAGACGAGAACTAATCAAGATTTGACGAATGATTTTATTATTATTCGAACGATCGAAAGATGTGTATTGTAATGAAAGTATATTGAACTTATTTAAGCTAAATGAAAAGTCTCATTGATAAACTAATAAAATTAAACATATGAGCTGTTTATGACATGCACCGACTGAGATATTCAAATTTTAAGCTATTTTCAATCTATATAGTATGCTGACGATTGAACATTTCAGCAGAATTGATTTTTCTCTTTTTAATCATACTTGAATAGAATTGAACAAGTTATGTACGAAAAAGAAATTTTACGAAAATTAGAATTTCAGATTTATTTTCTCCTATACTTCTTCATGTAGAACGCGATAAACTTTATGCAACGATGACAAAAAAAAGGAAAAATAAATCCTGTTTAAATTTTAAATTATTAGCATATTGCGTAGAGAATTGAAAAAGTTTTTCGAAACGTATTTATCTTGAATACAGTTTAATTTAATATTCGAATCCGTCTCGCAGAAAAACCGCTTTACGGAATTGTATAATTATTCGAATTCCACGGTGTTTTTCTGATTACTGTGCATCATGCATTGTTTTTGTTCATAACTATGTACATATTTGAATGTCTTGGAAGCTAGAATCTAATTTCGACATAAATGAAGTATATAGTTAATCAAAAGTTTAAATCTGATGTTTCTTTCGTTGGATTCTAATGAAAAACATACCATTTGATGTAGAATTCAATGGGAGTAATGAGTACTATCTTGATCTCAGCTACGATTTTCGGGAAAGAATGAAACTCTTCAACGAACACTACTTTCAGCTGATTATTCGATGCAATTATGCTGGCTAAGAAAGATTTTGTCATTGTGAAAGTTTATTAAAAACTGAACAACTTTTATATAGAAAATTCATTTGTTCATTGCTTCGCTTCGCTCTGTAGTAAAACACTATGTTCTCAGCTTCAAAAGAAAAAAAAGCTACATTTTTTGAAACTCTATAATACGCGCTGAAAGAAGTAAGTTAGTATTAGCCGACTAAGTTTTAGGTGATCCTAACCCTTCTGAGATTTCTCGGAAGCAACTGGGTGAAAAAGGATAAAAATTTCAAGACAGACAGATCTCATAAGCAGAGCAAAATTTGTCATAGACTCAAAATTCATAGATGCTTCCTTCAGGAAGATATGGGTCTCGCAAAGACCAAAAATAGTCAGAAAATTTTTGTCCGAAAAAATCTATATTTCATTTTTTATCACAATTAGGACTAAATCAGAGTGTAACGGTTTCTTTTTTTTTTCTTCAAAAATATCGTTTCTAGAACTCAGAAAAAAACAAAGCATTGGAAACATCAACAAAAAGCGTGTTGTTTTTTCAATGATACTAAATTTTTGAAGGCTGTTAAATTTTTATGAAACAACATTTTGAAGAAAAAATAGCAGGCAGCTCAATTTAACCGAAGTACTCATAAAAAAAAATACTAAGCCGGATTGAACGTACTGTATGAAGGCGAAGAGAAGAAAGCTACGTCTTTTGGTTTAAAAAAGTAATTTTGAAAAAAAAAGCAAAAATAAAGTTTTCTGTAAGCATCAGGACTTTTTTTTCTGAAACTAAAATGATTGAAAAATTTTAGTGATAGAGGTTCATGTTCACTCATACTCTCACCAATCTTGAGATAATAGATCATCATTAAGAGAATTTTGTGCACAAAAAAAAAATAATTGCAATGGAGATTTTTCTGCTGGGAATTTTAAGAATCTCATTTAATAAAAGTATTAACTAATAAAGAAGAATCGTCATTTATGTAGCATTTGATAGAGGACACTTCGAAACTATATCAAAAAACGAAAGAATTTTCGTTTTAAGATCCGACAAGGAGCGGGATTTTCTTAATTATGATTCAATAATGGTAATTAGGTTATTATCATATAACTTTCAATATGGGGACACATCTGAGAACCAATAATCGATTATGCTTTCGACAGCTTTTGTAAATAACGCAGAATGATTAATGTTACATGAACAGTTAGATGTAAAGAATAAAATTGCAAACATGTTAGATATTACGTAGATATTTGTTCAGTTATGTGTATATAGCATTTTGCGCATTCTTTACTGGTAAAAAGAAAATAATTCAATAGATCAGTTATGTAAGAAAGTACTCAAATTGTTTTTAAAAATATTTTTATATTATAGAATATATATAAATTCGCAATAGTAAATCAAACTCTCTTGATTAACATTAAGATCATAGATGAAAGAAGTTTTTCGTATTATACAAATTACTTTTACCTGTAAAATATTGTCCAAACTAGCGTCATCTGTGATATTATTCTATAAAAGAAAAACGAATAATTCATTGATTATTATCAAATTTTCTTCCAATGATTATTTGATATAAATAAGTTTGTTCATTGATAAATAAATATTTTCATTATTCAAAAATGAGTTCATCTTATTATTTTCGTATTAATCATAATTTAAAATATTTCTTTATTTCAACAATAACTGTTTTTTTAATATCAACTTGTGTCTCATTAGAAAAAGATAATATTCTACCAATTTATTATGAATCTAAAATTGGATTAAAATTTCCTGAATCAATTATTGATCTTGCATGTCTAGCAAATACTTTTCCATCACAATTTAAACAAAATCAAAATGAAAATAATATGTTTTTCTCATATATTAAAAAATTTTACAGAAATAAAACAAATTGATAGTTTAATATACGATAATATTGATCAATCATTTATTTCAAATATATATCCATCATTAGGAATTAAAGGATTACATTTAAAAGTATATGAAAAAAAACAAGTAATATCTAAAAATAGAACCAAAATTATATTTTTATTTTATCAAATTTTTCAAATTTAGAATATTGATCAAGATGAATATCAATATATATTTATTGTTATACGTCATCAAGAATATGATTCGATATTAACTGATGAAATGAATGAAATGATGAGTTTATTTGGATCAGCAGCAACAGTTGATCGTCAACAAGGTAATAAAGAATTATTTGGTACATCAACTATTTCATCAATGATTCGTTTTGTACGTAAACAACTTGGTCTTGATTATTTACCACAAGCTATTTCAATGTTTAATAAAATTCAATTACATTATAAAAACAAAAATAATATTAAATATATATTCAGTGGTTTTAGTTCAGGTGGTTTATATGCTATTGTATTAGCTTTGTATTTTAAATGGCCAGCAATTACATTTTCTTCGACAGGTGTTGAAGATATTATTAATATTTATTATTCAAATTTATTTACCGATACATATAAACAATCAACAATACCACCAATATTTAATTTTGCACATCAATTAGATAATACTCCACAATTAGATTGTCAATTGGGTACGATATGCTTATTTAAATCAGAAAATCTTGAAGAACAACAACAAAAATTAACTAAACAAGAAATTGAATTACTTCATTTAAATACAATATTTGGACAATCAGGTCCAGATATAATACAATGGCTTCATCAACCAGAAAAATGGATGTGTACGACATCTAATAATTATAATTCATTATATGGTAGTTGTAAACGAGAACGATTAAGATGGAAAGATCGAATGAAATTAAATTCTAACAATGAACAAACACTTAAACAAGATTTGTAAATATTTTATATAATTTAATAAATTAAAAATTATCTGAACAAAAAATTTTCTTAGAACATATACAACAATATATTATTTTGTGATTTGTATGTTGCAACTAAGGTGATGAAATATTATACAAATAAAATCTAATGAGCCATTCATTGCATATAACTATATGTGACCTTCATAAGACAAAATTTCAACACGTCTATTTGTTTTTTATGCATCAATAAATTAATGTTTATTTAAAAAATGAATTAGTTTATTACTATATATTTCAGAAAATAATATCATTATTGTTCAAAAATAGTTACTATTAATTTTGGTTATCCTATCAAAAAAGACGATCGTAGTATAAACATATACACAACAAGCACAAAGATGTGCATACAATCATTTGACCTTGTCAAAGATGAATATCATTACTTAGAGACACGTTCTATTTCTATACATAAGAAAATGGGTTAGTTAATATCGCATTCATTTGAAGAGACAGCAGTTATAGTAGAAGAAGAAAAAGAAGGAAACAGAAAATGTATTTTCTCTATCGAGCATTAGATATCCGAAGAAAAAAAAAGCTAAACCCTATGAAATATTGGTATCAGTCATATATTTTTCTTTCTTTCTTTTCTCTTTCTACATTTAGTTGATGAATCTTCTCATAACGAGCAAATAAACACATACAACACAATGTTTCTTCTTCTATGATTCACTATTAATCATTAAGAAAAAATTTTTCTTTTTTGTTGTCAATAGAATCCAATTATGGTATTACGTGTCTATTTTATTTCGACAACAGGTCGTCGAGATATACGTAAAGGACAAATTCATGTATTTTCTGTACTTAGTTCATGGAAATTTGAATATCAAGCAATTGATGTAGCTGCACCAGAAAATGAAAATGAACGAAATTTTGTTATTGATACTGGTAAAAAATCAGAAGATGGTAAAGTTATTTTACCACAAATATTTCAAGAAGAAGAATGTTGTGGAAATTATTTGGATTTTTTAAATGCTATTGAAGATGAAAAATTACGATTATTTCTTAAAGAAATAGAAGAACAAGAATTTAATGCTATGAAACAAAAGAAATATGAAGAAAAATTAACAAATAATGAAACTACAAATGGTAAATTTATTCTTTTAGGAATTAAGATTAAAAATAGAAGACATAATCGAATTAGAATATTGATATAAGAGAATTTCCTTTTTTTATTGAATATACAAAAGAAGCTACGATTTACACTCTGTTCATTACGTAAAATTAGCATCTTTCTTTTTTCTATGATGATTTACTTTTCGCTGATTATTTAGAAGAAGAAGAAGAAACGATTTGAGTACAGATCTGAGTATCGGTCTTGTCGATACTCACAGAGTAAATCATGCATACGAGAAATTACAAATGTACGTAGATAATCTTCTGATAAAATCTAATTCAGCATCACTTCGATGGATGAATTACTGACGACTTACATTTTTCTACTAGAGAACAATAAAAACCTAGTTTAATCTTATATATAATTTTTAGAAATAATTGTCTTTAATTATTTTTTTTTCCATAAATTTTATCAAAGTTTACATATACTCGAGGTTGATATTATAGATAGTGGCTCTCAAAATTATTCGACTAGATTTATTTTCAATTATTTTACTGTTTCTGTGAATTTAAATGATAATTTAAGTAGAGAATTTTATGTTCAACAAGAATTTTTGAAAATAAAACTCATTAGTAATTCGTCATGTGTAGGATCTCTGAAGAACTAAAATACAAGTTTTTCTGTTCGTAGAATTTTCTACAGATTGCATAGAAATGATATAGAAAACAATCCTGTACAAATTGAATCGTTTTTCAGCTCTTCATAATGCTTTTGAACTGAGATACATAAACTTAACGGAAGGTACTGGAGTGGTTTTTTTTCATGTGAATTAACAGAAAAAATTGATTTTTATATGTTTCGTAAGGTTGATGCATCTCGGTTTCATAACATCGTAGAGAGAATTTGAAAAGCGTGAGTTTTCGTTTTTCAGAAATTATCAATTATTTCCATCTTCGATAATTCTTGTTGAAAATAAAATTCTCTACACAAATTAATATTTGGATCTTTATGAATGGTGATGACAGTTGAAAAAGATTGAAAATAAACCTGGCTAGATAATTTTTCGAGCACATCAAATATAATTTATTCGTGTACAAAAGATAAAAAACAACACTATTAATGTAAATATAACAAAATATATATGAATATGTTTTTTTTTGCATTTCGCTTGATCTTGTCATAATAGAGTTATTAATCATTTCATGTTCTATTATCTTTAATATATTTTGTTTTAGAGATGAAGATCGAAACAATATCATCTCAAGAAGATTAGAATAATGCCGAAAAGACATAAGACATTACTATACATATGGAAATCTCTGAAATCAAATAATAATTTGAACATCAACGTGTTTACAATAGTTTATAATTATCCTTTCTATAAAACTTTATATTATTTAATAAAACTAAATGTGTGTTTAGTTTGATTGTAAATTTCTTATTGTTTTTATTATTTCTTTTCTTTTTTTCTGATAAACTTCTCTTGGCTAATACATTGTACTCTTCTTGTCATCATCTCAAGTATTTTCTCAGTTCAATATTTTAAACATTTTCATATGTTATCAAATGTATAATTAAGATAAATTCTTATAAACCAAAGTCTTTATCAATTTCATATTACAATCTATCCTAATGAAATAAAAGTAGACGGTGAGATCAATGAATGAGTGAACTAAATGTACCAATCCAATAAGGCTTTGAAAATATATCCGATTCTTGTTTAGGCTAATTACAATACTTATATTATGTACATGAAGCAATTGAATACCATAATCCATTAGACAAACCATTGTCAAACATTTACAATAGTACAACCGAACAATAACACGATTTCATGATGTATATTTGGCTGTTGTACATTTTTTTTTCGTATAACTTACACTATATTTTGAGAGTTTTCGATTAGAAATATGAGAAAAACCGGTGTATGTAAGAACACATATTTCGAAATTGTCTCCTAGTAAAAATGAATTGATATGAAAAATTCATCTAACACAAAGTATAACTATTGATACAAGTACAAAGTAATGCATGAATGTTTTTCTATAGCAATTTTCTGAAATATTAAATTGAGTTTTAAATTATAGAACAGAAAATATCGGACTTCTTTTAAGTTTGAAGAAAAAAACAGTCTGTCATCTTACAAAGGAAATATCATAAATTCTGAATCATCATGAACATTAATTTATATGTAGATATGGAATGGTTTCTAAATGAATGTATTTATATGAGATTTGTGAACATGTGTCTACGTTTCAAATAATATCATGAAGTTTTTTATTAATTCTTCCTTACCTTTGGCTAAACCTGATGGGGCTCAGAAGGATAATGGACTCAATAACATAAGAAAAGTTTGAACTGCACCCATCAACCGTCAATATATTAAACATGTAATGCATTCGTCATTCTATTGTATTTGAAACGAATTCCAAATTGTCGAACATGATTCTTGCCTCTCTGTTTAACTTAATCATACATACCGGCGCACTCCAAAAATTATTTTTATGATAAAGACTAGATTCAGATTGTTGATTTAGAGTCCGCAATAGATACACTTTAAGTTGATATAAAATCTATTTTTCAGTGTCTCATATAGTTCAAGAAAGGGTAAACAAAAGGAAAAACATTATATTTAGCATTGAAAATTATTTTACTTCATTCTTTGCTCGATTTTAGTTCTTAACTGTTCTCGATTGGTAATTTACTTATAAGACACAGCTGAGGTAATCAATGAAACTATACACAGAATAAACAGTTTAAAATGAAGAAAAGATATGAAAAATGTTTACGAAATAAAAATTTTGATTTTGCATGTAGTGTTTTATTGATCATGAAATACAGGATGTGAACATGCATTTTAGTTCATTATTACATCGTTCGTTCAAGGTATAGTTTGAATGATCAATGATTCATCACAATTATGAAAAACAACCATGCACAACAACTACGTATTATTTCCTATCTGATTTTTTTTCTTCTAATGCATTTGAGACCTTGCCTTGAAAAACATCTTATTGCTTGATTTCAAAAAATTGAACGTTATAGAGATCGTATTCCATGGCTGCATATATTTTATTTTTCGTGGATGTAAGGGACATTTGAAATACTTTGTATTGATTTTAATTACATCGAAGAAAGTTGCCAGCAAAAAAATGAATATATTTTGATTTTGATTCTGGGACACATAAGAGAGATAACGATTAATTTGCACATTGCTTATTTGTTCAATCAATCATTTTGATGATGAGATTATAGATGATGTGTCATCCCTTGTTTTCATACAAGGATTGACCCAATTGCAGTACTTTTTGTATCGTGCATTACATGTCCTAAATCTGAGAATTCTTATAAACTCTGCTTTTAACATTCTTATTAATTGACGAGGAAAGTGTCCAAGATGTCCAACTCTGATTGACTTATTCGATAGAGTATACTGAGATAAATAAAAGCCTCAAAGGGTTCGAGCCTATCGTTTACTGACGAAAAGTTATTCCTGATGAGTATTAAATCTATCTATTGGCAAATATTCAGATCAAAACCTTTCATTTTGGTTTTTTTCGAAATACTTAGCTGTCAGTAAAGTGACCATAATTCTTCGAGTGAGATATGAATGAATTGAAATGTAACTTGGCACCTCGATTACTTCCTTCATCAGCTATTTTACATCAGAATTTCCTTTTGCTAATAATAATTATGGACATGTTTTTCTCATGGATAGACCAAAAATCTATCATCATCATGGAATAAAACAAAACTATTATTACTATCATTGATAATTATTTTCACATATGACTGTGATGAGTAATGAAAATCAATAAAAAAAGAATCAGTGAACAGTTGAAAACGACAATGTCCAAAGATAATTTAAATAAACTCTTTATTTGGATTATATTATGCATTTACCGATCACAAAACCACGCGTTCACGCGCTTGCAAGAAAAAAACGAACCATATACATTGTGAACAATACGCATGATGAATATAATTTAGATAATTATCAAAAAAAATAATTCAACACTTCTTTTGTCAAGAATAAGAATATTACATATGAAGATTTTTTTCTCTCAAATGAAATCACTCTATTCAGAAAAGTCTATTATATTAGATATCATTAACGCTATAACAGTTCACGAAACAGTGAGCATTTGATCAAGTTTTTCAATGGTAATATTCAAAATAAAAAATAAAAACTGTGAAATCAATAATTATTTTGCCAAATAGAACACTTTTCTTATTTGTTCGACACCATCAAGCATGAATCATGTCATTTATCAGCACAAGAAACATGCACAGATAGAAATTTCATGTCTTTTCCTTTCTGAGAGCATATTTAAATTGAAAAAGCAAACGAAGAACTATAGTCAACCATTCAATTTTGTAAGTATAACAAACGGACAAATATGTTGCCAAATCATCATATGTTCAACACCACATTTTTCAAATCATAAATTGTTACCATCAACGATTGATCCAAAATATACAATGCAAGATTTGAACACAAATGTTAATGTTATCCTGAAACCTGGGTATGGGTGTGGGTCACCATGAGGAGAATACCTACCCGCACCCCATCTACACCCATCGCTCATCCTCTCAAATAATGAACATTGTAATGCATTATTTGTGGCCAATGGAAGAAAAGCCATCTCAATGCAGTGATACGTAGTTAATACCTTGAAAATATATTTTACATTTGAGATCCATTCAAGTTTCAAAATGAAGAACGAAAAACACATACACACGAATGAACAAGGAGAGGATTTTTTCATGCAATGAAATAAAGGTCTCGGCCCTTAATCAACAGACTTCATAGAGTTTAAAAAATATATTGCAGACAGACAAATGTTTTATTTACCATGTGACAGATTTTATACATTCAGTCAAGGATATTGTTTATTTAACTACCTTCGTATTTCATTTTTGTGGTTCGAACATTCAAAAAAGCTTAATAAAATATTTGTCACTGTCTTTGAGATCGATAGGCCAGTTTAGCCTCTCACGATGTACATTTCAGAGCTCACTTCCTATCTGGTTTCAAGGAATTTTCTATTACATAAGAACTAAGTTATGTGTCAAAAAATGAGTGAAAAACGTCTATAT